GGAGGGTCAGCGCCGAGGGAGGGAGCGCTGCGCGGTCGGAGGGTCAGTGTTGAGGGCGGGAGAGCTTGGAGCACTGATGGGGTTGTTGGTGCTGTGCTATCGGGGAATCAGTGTCAAGCAAGGGAGCGCTTGGAGAGCTGTTGGGGGAAGGATCCTCAGCACTGAGGGAGGGAGCGCTGTCGAGGGGTGAGGGGGTGGGGTTGGTTAGTCCCATACAACTGCAACATAACTTGCCAATTTTTATACTCGATGGCCTGAGTGCTGAAGGTAAGCATGCGATCCGCCTAGATCCCTTCGTATGTTGATGCTACTGAGCATTCTGTCATTGTGTGCTTCCCTCCTGTACTGGACCTTCCAAAATGGATCATTTCGTATTCAACTCCATCTGCCATTTCTCCGCCCAAGTCTCTACCTTATCGATACCCTGCTGTATCCTCTGGCAAACCTCCTCACTAGGCACAGGTCCAGGATCTGAAAGGCATGACCCTGAAAATGACAACTGGATAGTTGACGCATTGCAATCACAGACTTAAGTGAAAAAGCAGTTTATTCACGTACATGCAGGAAACAACTCAGAGGCCCTTTGCTGAGTCACAAATAGCAGTGACTTCTAGGCACAAAAATACTGTTACGTACTCCATCCTGGGTAGGGAATCTACCAACTGTAAGCCCCAGTATATTTCTAAATGTGGGTGGCATGGTAGCTCAGCGGTTAGGCACTGCAGTCTCTCAGCCAGGAAACCGCGTTCGATTCCAACTTTGGGCAGCTGTGTCTGTGTGGGAGTTTGCACATTCTGTCTGTGTCTGCGTCTGCGTGGGTTTCGTCCGGGGGCTCCGGTTTCCTCCCACAGTCCAAAGATGTGCAGACTAGGGGTGGATTGGCCAGGCTAAATTGCCCCGTAGTGCCCAGGGATGTGTGGGTTAGGGTGGGATTGGCCGTGCTAAATTGTCCTGTAGTGCCCAGGGATGTGCGGGTTAGGGTGGATTGGCCGTGCTAAATTGTCCCGTAGTGCTCAGGGATGTGCGGGTTAGGGTGGAATGGCCGTGCTAAATTGTCCCGTAGTGCCCAGGGATGTGTAGGTTAGGTGGATTAGACATGGGGAATGCAGGGTGATAGGGGATGGACGTGGGTCTGGGTGTGTACGGATGGGCTGAATGGCCTGCTTCCACACCAGAGGGATTCTATGATATGTGTCTCTGGCCACACAGCAATGTGGTTGACTCTTAACTGCTCTCTGGGCAATTAGGGATGGGCAATAAAGCCAGAGATACTAACATCCCATGACCGAATTTAAAAAAAAACAAATAATCTTAAAAATACAAATTTGCAGTTCAGCATAATAAACCTATTCAAACGGGCCCTAAATACAATGGAAAGTTAACCCATTTTCCTAACAGTATTGCATGGCAGTGTAAATGCTTAACTTTCTAATTAGTTGCACTAAATGTCATATAATGCCTTAGTCGATCAGAAGATCCAAGTCCAACTGATCCCCTGACCTCAGGGATCTGGATTGAGAGTTAACCACTTGTCAGTATGTTGGCAAGATCCATCAGGGATCTGAGGGATTACCCAAAAGTACTTGCAGACAACATGCCCCCTCCCCACCTGTCTTTAGGAGTCCTACAAGCTTAATTACACCTTTCGCTAAACAAATCACAGGCTCAGAGCCTGTTTCACCTTTGTGGCTGGCCAGAGAAATGTCAGGAAGCACTTCTACATGCAAAGAGAACCCAGGTAATGTTCTGGGGACATGGGTTCGAATCTTGCATGGCAGATGGTGGAATTTGAATTCAATAAGATATCTGGAATAAGAATCTACTGGTTACCATGAAACTATTGTCAATTGTTGGAAGAAAAACCTTCTGGTGCAAAGCCCTTTAGGAAAGGAAACTACTATCCTTACCTAGTCTGGCCTACATGTGACTCCAGACCCCACAGCAATCTGGTTGAATCTTAACTGCCCTCTGGGCAATTACGGATGGGTAAAAGGTATTCTTTGTATCTTCCATTTCCTACATTCAGAGACAACTGAGCAACTGTGTGTGTGTGTGTGTGTGTCTGGCAAGAAAGAGAGGGAGGAGGAGACAGTGAGTGAGAGAGAGGGGAGTGTAACTGGGTAACACTGAATATGTGTGTCAACATCAGGAAGGATTTTGATTTATAGCAGCTTTTGTTACCCGTTCCTTTGTCTATCCAACTGCTGTTTTCTCTCTCTCTCTGCTCGGTATCTCCACCACCCCTCCCCAATTCATAGGAGAGATTATACAAATTGGACCCGTCTTCTCCAGAATTGAGAAGGTTAAGGGGATGATCTGATCAAAGTCTTTAAGATATTAAGAGGAAAAGACAGGGTCAATAAACTACTTCTGCTGGTTGGGGATTCTAGAATGAGGGAGCATAGTCTGAGAATTAGAGCCATATCATTCAGGACAGATATTAGGAAGCACAAAGGGGTGGCATTGCTGCCTCAGAGTGTCTGGGACTCGGGTCTGGTTCCAACTTTGGGTGACTGTCTGTGTGGAGTTTGCAAGTCTCCTCCCTGTCTGCATGGGTTTCCTCCCACAGTCCAAAGATAAGCAGGTTAGGGTAGATTGGCTATGTTAAATTGCCCACACTGTCCAGGGATGTGCAGGCTAGGTGGATTAGCCATGGTGAAAATGCAAAGTTACAAGGATGGGGTGGGTCTGGGTGGGATGCTCTTCAGAGGGTCAGTGTGGATGCGATGGGTCTTGCACACTGTAGGGTTTCATTGAACGGTAAGTGAGGTTTCAGGGCCGAATTGTCTACTCCTGCTCCTATGAGAGAGACGGAGTGAGTGAGTTCTGTAGCTGAGTGAAAAGGGGCATGTCGTGACAGGACCCTGATCCGTGGGTGATGGTCATAAAGGAGATGTCCATGATTGAAAATGATTGAACTTGATGTCCTGAGTCGCAAAGCAGGAGTCCAGCCAATTGAGGGAAAACTCAAAACTGTGCGCGGGAAAGGAAGTAGGTGGCGGCTTTCTTCTTTGTGGCTGGTAAGGGAGGGAGGGAGGGGTAGGCAAGAAAGGCCGAATATCCTCCGCCCGCGATTGCAGGCACAGAGTTGTAACACCTGGGCCTCCGAGGGCAGGGGGCGATGGCGCCATCAGTATCCCGCCGTGCCCCGCGACCCTGCAAGTCCCCTATCTCATTCCATTGTCCGTGGGAGGGGAAGGATTTCATTGGGCGAGAGGGCGGGAGGGTGTGGCTGATACGCGGGCTGACCAATCAGAGCCCAGTCCTTGTCTGCCGCTCCTCCTCCTCGCATGATACCGCCCTCCTGCGCACAACATGCATGCGCAGTCTCATCCTACCCCGCCCCCTTCACTACCTTTCTCTCTGAATGGCCAGGACGCGAATCCGACTCGCCCACCTCTACTGACGGACGGGTGTTTTGACCAATCCAAGAAGAGTGCATTGCGTCACAAGGGATTGACGCACCCCGAGGGGCGGGGTGAACATCGGTTTTCCGCATACCCTCCGCCCAATTCGACAACCAGGCTCGCACCGATTGGCCACTTTCCAAAGGAGACACACCCAGTGTGTCCGATCGACGGTAGCGGTATCCAATCAGAATTGTCAGAAGGCAGGGACAGTAAAAGGGAAGGCCCTACGCCAACAACGGCGGCCAGCTCCTAGTCCGATTGGACAGACCTGGAAGATCGGCGGACACGACATCGAATCGCGGAAGGTCAGTATAAGTGCGTCTGAGGTGACGCCTTCGGCATTGCCTCGCTCACACTACCCTCTCCGGTTGGCCCGAACGGGGGTGATCGACGGGAGAAACGTCCAATCGACGAGGTTCGCCTGACGTCATAGAGGCAGGCGTCAATTTCTTATCTGCATAGCTAACCACCCGCCCTAAAGGCTGATCGACGGGCGGACCGTCCAATCGACAAAGTGGCAGCGCCCGATGTTTGCATACCACCGACCCGATTCGTCCAGAAGCGGAAAGCGACCCGCCCTCCCGGGTTGATCGACGGCCGACGCCTCCAATCGCAAGACAGTGGCTTACGTCAGTGGAACGAATGACGCGATAGCCCCGCCCGCTCATTTGAATCAAAACTGTCCCTTCCCCCTCCCCCACCCCTCGACGGCGGGAAGCAGCCTCCCCTCTCCTTTATTATTTTTTTTAAAGGGGAAGTTTGAGTCGGGGGAATAAAAGTCGGAGGTAGATAAAAAGAAACAAACGCCATGGCGGAGGAAGAGGAGGAGGAAGAATCGGCGCTTCGGGCCGAAGTGGAGAGGCTGAGCGCCGAGCTCGCCGAGACCAGCGAGCAGAAGGTGCAGGCAGCCCGCTACGGCCTGGCGGTGCTGGAGGAGCGGCGAGGCCTACAGCAACGCCTCACCGAGCTGGAGTCGGAGCACGAAGCCACCATCCAGGAGCTGGAGCGGCTCAAGGAGGTGAGGGGACGGTACGGCGGATTCCTATTGGCCGGCGGCCCTCCACCGCCCGTACTTTCCATTGGTCTGAATCCCACGATGGGGGGGGGGTTGCGGCGGCTCTCCAATCATCCTAGACCCCGCCTTGTTGCTCCCGTCGATCAAATACTGGGCGCGGCCGATTGGTTCGCGCCCAACGGACACCTGTTGTCAATCATCATTCATCCCGCCCACCCACGTGGGCAGTGTGAGCAAACCGTCCAATCGCCTGGACCGTAGCGCCTAGAGCGGCTAACCATTGGGTGGAGCCGTCTGTCCACCTGCCCCGCCCCAATCAACGTCGCTCGGGGGGCGGTGACATAAGCGCCCATTCACCTAGCGATTTGTGCCAAAAGGCGGCCTCTCATTGGCCCGAGCCGCCTGTCAAGGTTTTGACACGACCGTCGAATCACGTGGCGATTTAGTGCCAAAGGTGACCTTCCATTGGGTAGACCTGCCTGTCAATCAGCGCGCAGGCGGGCTGTCAAGTGCATCCAATCACCTGGAGGGAAGTGTCAGCTCCGGACTCCCATTGGCCCGGCCCAGCGCGGATTGGTTGAACGGCCGGTGGGGCGGGAAATTTGAATGGGGTCTGGTCCATGACTGTGGGCGCCAAGGGCTTTTTGGGGAGGCAAGCACAGGAGGATCCCATTGGCAACAAGTTTTGGACTCATGCGCCTATTCGTACACCGGAACAGGAGGAGCCCCTTCGGCCCTTCTCCTCCAGCCTGTTGCATCGGGAAAGGAGGCCATTCGGACCCATCTCCCTTGAGCCTGTTACAGGTGAACTTTGGTTTCACCAACGTCCCGCACCGTTGGAGCTAGACTCCCCAACTTTTAGATGACGTCCCCGCCTTGGAATAAAGACCTACTTCCAATTGCCTTCCTTGTCACTTGCTGCCTCTGCGTACTAACCTTTTTGCAATTCGGGAACTGGATCTCCCAGATCCCTCTGCACCGCTGCTTTCTCTCTCCAGTTAGGACAATGGCTTCCTTTCCAATGTTTCCTGCCAAAGTGGACAGCGTGGCGGCCCAGTGGTTAGCACTGCCGTCTCACAGCGCCAGGGACCCGGGTTCAATTCCAGCCTCAGGCGACTGTCTGTGTGGAGTGCTCCCCGTGTCTGCCTGGGTTTCCTCCTGGTGCTAAAGATGCGCTGGTTAGGTGGATTGGCCATGCTAAATTGCCCATAGTGTCTAGGGTCGGAAATGGAGGGATAGGGTAGGGAGGTGGGCCTGGGTCGGATGCCCTTCAGAGGATTGGTGTGGACTCAATGGGCTGAATAGCCTGCTTCCACATTGTAGGGATTCGATGATTCTATGACGATATCTCACTTTCCCAAGTTATATTCCATCTGCCAGATCTTTGCCCATCCATTCAACTAAGTCATGTCCCTGTTATTGTCTCCTTATCTCTCACTGAAAACTTGTTTTCTTACCTTTCTTGGGCATCATCTGCAGACTGATTGGTTTGTTGTTGTCACATGTACCGAGATACAGTGAAAAGTATTGTTTTGCATGCTATACAGGCAGATTGTACCATACAAAAATGCATCACAGAGTGCAGACTATAGCGTTACAGTGACAGAGAAGGTGCAGAGAGAGATCAGTATTGACATTTGAAAGGTCCATTCAAAAGTCTGATAACAGCGGGGGAAAAGCTGTTCTTAAATCTATTTGAACGTGTCTTCAAACCTTTATATCTTCCGCTTGACGGCAGGGGTGGAAGAGAGTATAACCAGGTTTGGAGGGGTCTTTGATGTTGGTTGCTTTCCCAAGGCAGCGGGAGGTATCGGTGGAGTCAATGGTTGGAAGGCTGGTTTGTGTGATGGACTGGGCTGTGTTCATGACCCTCTGTAGTTTCTTGTGAACTTGGACAGAGCAGTCACCCTACCACACGGATGCATCCAGATGGGATGCTTTCTGTGGTGCACCGATTAAAAATTGGTAACAGTTCTTGTGGAGAGGCAGAATTTCCTTAGTCTCCTGAGGAAGTAGAGACGTGGCTACAACAGCCTTGGTCCCTTCTTCTAAGTCACATCCAGAAACTCGGATGAGAGAAATGCAGGACTGGCAGCTCAATGTTGCAGGGTTGAGATGTTTCAGGCGACATAGAGAGTGATGTAAAAGGATTGGGGGAGTTGCCTTACTGATTAAGGAGAGTGTAAGAGCCACACTAAGAGGGGACATCTTGGAGCGCTTATCCAGCGAGATCTTATGGGTAGAACTCTGGAATAAGAAAGATGGTAGTATCCCAATGATGGGGTTATAGGAAGGATATTATTAAGTTGGAGAACGTTCAGAAGAGGTTTACTAGAATGTTGCCGGGTATGGAAGGTTTAAGTTATAAAGGAAAAGTGGGACCTTTTTCACTGGAGCGTAGGAGGTTGAGAGGCGAGTTTATAAAATAATGAGGGGTATAGATAGCGTTTTTGAGAAGATTTGTAGCTCGGGTTGTAGATGAGATTGTAGACTTGCTCATCAAGCCGGTGGGTTTGATTACAGACGTTTCATCACCGTGCTAGGTAATATTGTCAACGCGCCTCCAGTGAACCATTGGTGTTCTGTCCTGCTTGTTATTTATATGCCTCGGTTTACTGGGTGGCTGGTATTATTTCTGGTTTTGTTTCTCAATGGTTTGTACACAGGGTCCAATTCAATGTATTTGTAGATGGAGATGCGGTCGGAATAGCAGGCCTCCAGGAATTCCCTGGCGTGTCTCTGTTTGGCGTGTGCGATTATTGATGTGTCGTCCCAAGTCGAATTCGCGACCCTCGTTGTCCGTGTGTAGAGAGACAAGTGAGAGTTGGTCGTATATCTTGGCGGCTAGTTGGTGTATTTGTGTATCTGTATTATCAGTTTTCTTCCAGTTTGGCCTATGTAGTGTTTCTCACAGTCCTTGCATGATATTTTGTATAGATAGAGTTAATGGTAGGTGTCTTTTCCCTAGAGTGGCGAATTTCAAGCCTAGGGGGCATGTTTTTACGGTGAGAGGAGAAAAAGACATAAGGGACAAATTATTTACACAGAGGGTGCTTCGCATGTGGAATGAACTTCCAGTGGAAGTGGTGGATGTGGGTACAGTTACAACGTTTAGAAGACATTTGGATAAGTACATGGATAGGAAAGGTTTGGAAGGATATGGGCCAGGAGCAGGCAGGTGTGCGACTAGGTTAGTTTGGGATGATGGTCGGCATGGATTGGTTGGGCCGAAGGGGCTGTTTCCGTGCTGTATGACTCTTGGTGGCCTAACCAAAGTCTTATAGAGCTGCAACATGACCTGCCAATGTTTATTCTCAATGCCCCGACCGCTGAAGGTAAGCAAGCCATATGCCTTCTTTTCCACCTTATCCACTTGTGTTTCCACTTTCAAGGAGCTATAGGCTTGCACCCCTAGATCCCTCTGTCTGTCGACGCTCCTGCTGTTTACTGTCCACTTTCCTCCTCTTGCATTTGACCTCCCAAAATGCATCACCTCACACTTTTGTCCAGATTAAACTCCATCTGCTGTTTCTCCGCCCAATTTTCCAGCTGATCTCTACCCTGCTGTATCCCTTGACCGCCTTCCCCACGATCCACAACTCCCCCAATTTTCACGTTAGCTGCAAACCTACGAATCAGGCCCCCACATTTCCATTCACGCGATTCAAGTATATTATAAACCAGACACCCGACATCAGCTCCCCCGCCGCGTAAATCGACATGACCCAGAACATCAACGCATCCCTCTTTCATCTTGCCATCATCCCTGTCCTTCTCCTTTGGTGAATACTGACGCAAAGTGCCCATTAAGGACCTCACCCACTTCCTATCTCCGTGCACAAACTCCCTCCTTTGTCCTTGAGTGGACCTATCCTTTCCTAGTTACCTTGCTCTTAACGTATGTATAAAATGCCTTGGCGTTCTCCTTAATCCAACTTGATTAGGACATTTCATTGCTCCTTTTAGCCCTCCTGCTTCTTTTATATTCGTTAAGGGCCTTGTCCAATTTCAGTTTCCTGAGCTGCCTTTTTCTTTTTGATTTAAACTTTCAATACCTCCTCGGTCACACGTGGTTCCCGAATCTTGCCATCCCCTTTTCTTTCCTCCTCACAGGGACGTGCTGCTTCCTGAACTCTGGCCTTTCAAAGATTCCCACATGTCAGATGTGGATTCACTCTCAAATCGCTGCTGCTAATCAAATTTCTCCAGTTGCTGCCTCATACTGTTGCGATCAGCCCTCAGGGGTGCAGGTTCATAGTTCCTTGAAAGTGGAGTCGCAGGTAGACAGGGCGGTGAAGAAGGGGTTTGGTTCGCTTGCCTTTATTGGTCGGTGCATTGAGTGTAGGAGTCGGGAGGGTCATGTTGCGGCTGTATTGGTGAGGCCACGTTTGGAATACTGCGTTCAATTCTGGTCTCCCTGCTGTAGGAAAGATGTTGTGAACGGGCTCAGAAGGGTTTGAGTGATAGGGAGGGGCTGAATAGGGTGGGGCTATCTTCCCTGGAGCATCAGAGGCCGAGGTGGTGACCTTGTGGAGGTTTATAAAATCACGAGGGGGATGGATACAGTGAATAGGCAAGGTCTTTCTCCCCAGGATAGCGGAGTCTAAAACTACACGGGCATGGGTTTAAGGTGAGGAGGGAATGATTTAAAAGGGGCCCGAGGGGCAAGGAAGTGGTGGAGGCTGGTACAATGACAACATTTAACAGACATCTGGACGGTTACATGGATAGGAAGGGTTTAGAGGGATATTGGCCAAATGCTGGTAAATGGGACTAGATTTATTTAGGATATATGGTCAACATGGACAAGTTGGACCGAAGGGTCTGTTCCCGTGCTCTATGACTCTGACTATCTTAAAACTTACAGAATTATGATCACTGTTCCCAAAATACTCCCTCCTTGAAACTTCAATCACACTTTAAATCACTCTCCTCTCACCTTGAAATCGTGTCCCCGAGTCTTGAAATCTCCCATCCTAGGGAGAAGAAAGCTACCATGAACT